GAGAGAGAGAGAGAGAGAGAGAGAGAGAGAGAACAGGGTAGGTGAGGTTAATGAGCCAACTCACGAACAATGTGACCCCCATAAGCCGCTGCATTGCCCATCTTGGAAACACTGGGCGAGGATTGGCCGGTTCCTGCAGAAAGCAACGGAAAGGGAAACATACCTAATTTTTTAAAACTTTTTATGTTTGTTTTTTTTGTTCTTTTCAACATGCATAAGATCCCGATCAGTCTTTCCCTATTAGGCAGGGTGCTGGCACTCAATAATTCCATCCTAGAAATGATGTGGTATTCTACTTCCATATGGTTCCCAGCCCTAGACTTCCAAAGTCAGTTGAGGAAAAAAGCTGCAGCATTCCTATGGACAGGCAATCCGGACAAGGAACACTTTATTCACAAGGTTGCCTGGCAGATAGTCACCAGCCCAAAAAGCAGAGGGGGCTTAGGTCCTATAGATCCAACCCGTCAAATACAGGCTTTACAAATCAAACCCGTCAAATACAGGCTTTACAAATCAAATGGGTCATAAGACTAACCCTACAAGACAATCTACACTGGACCCCATTAGCCCTAAACCACATCAGAGAACTCGCTCCCTTCACTTCYCCAACCAACATGACAGGCCTCTTCTGGATTTTCAACAAGTTCTGGCCACTTCCGAAAGGGAAACAGAGACGGTCCGACCAAACACTCCAGCGGCAGACTAACGACACCCCCCAGATTAAATCACTCTGGGAGCAAATTCTACATACCTGGAGAACCATCTTCCCAGAGATCAGAACAGGACCAAAGAAAAAAGACGAAGTCCTTAGGCAACCCGTCTTTGGCAACCCACTGACTAAGAACAATAAAAAGGAAAGCCTAACACTCTCAAAATCAGAACCTAAATGGGGACATTAGCTAGAAAAGGGAATATGGCGAATCAAGCACATTTGGGACGAACCAAACAAAACCTGAAACAGAAAGAGGCCTACGAGAACAATACATCACTTACAAACTAACTTAACTGACATCATAGACTGCATCCCCCTACACTGGCGAGCCCTACTAAAATCAAAACAAGAATGACAATATGGAGACTGGGCCACCACCAATGACTCCGCATCAATCTAGGAAGTCCTTGAATTCAAGAACTACGAACCCCGCAACAAGAATTGGATATGCTGTGACATACACACCTTAGAAGAACCAGGAAACCCGGTAAGCTATATCAATACAAAGAGCAGAGCAGAAGGAGCTTTCAAAAGCAACAACCTGCAAAGAATCAAAATCTTAGAAGGAGATAGAAAAAGAGTCTTTCAACCAGCGGGTCGCCCGCCGCACGCGGAAACTTCTGGCTGGGGCTGGGGGGCCCCGCCCAGCGCGACACACCGATCCTCCTTCCGATCCTTATGGTGTCTGAACAGAAGCCTGTACTGCAACTTGGGCTTCAATGTCCCTTAGACCATCTTCCTGTGCAAAGATCACCCCTCTCCGACTATTGACGACTTGGCACAGAGTTGCTGCTAAACTGCTTTCACTCTGGGATTTATTGCAGTGCAGTACCTTGGATGTGAATCTCAAAATGTTAGCAGGGGATTTTCTAGCACTGGAGTGCTGGAGGATCCCGCACAGCATGTGCCATATGTGGCGAATCTGGCGATAGAGGATGGATGAGACTTGATGTCGGTATTGCTACGGCATTGAATTTGGTGTCCTTAACAAGCTTTGGATATTTATATCAATACATATATTAACACCTTTGTGAAAAAGAAAAAAAGAAAAAAAAAAAAAAAAAAGAGTCTTTCAACCCCATATTAACGTCTGCGACTTAGAGATTGATCCCACAGAATGGATATGGAGCTCCCCTTCCGGTTCCACCCTCATCTCCAACTCTTGCAAACTAACCGACTACACACCCAAACTAGGTTATCGTCTTTTCACCAAACCCATTTCAATATCCAACACAATACGCAACAGGTGGACAAAGGAGGAGCCACAATTAGCCAACACTCACTTCAAACTTCCCTGGGCTACAATACCATCCACAAGACCGGCTAAGCTAGCCAGCCTGAAATGGCTAATAGCCTTTAGAGCAGTCCCAGTAAGTAAACAAATGGTTGGCCATCGGACGCAATCAAGGAAATAGATCAAAACAGGATTCCTGGTGTAAGGTATGCAACCTCGATATCCCTGAATCCCTAAATCACTGTTTCATGGATTGCCCAAAGGCAAGATCCCTCTGGCAAGCCCTAGAATCAGCGTGGTTTAAATCTCAGACTCTCCCCTACTAATTAACCCGCCACACTATTCCTCGATCTCAACCAATCACCCTCACTCAAAGGATTTGAAGCCTTCCTCGCATCCCAAATCAAGAAAAGCACCCTATGGGCCATATGGAAAAACAGATGCGACAAAACATTCGATGACCGACTCACCACCCCCGAAAACCCACTCATCATTATACAACAACTAATAGACACCGAAATTCACCCCCTAATACGGCCCTATGGAAAAAGCAACTCAAGAATCTCCCTACTGACCCAGACAAAAAAAACCTAATAATCCAAAAATTCTCCTTCTCCAAACTGGGCAATGGGCTACTTGGCACAATTAACAACGAAAGACTAATTCTCAAGAATTGGCTAACCATAACACAGATATAAAGCTTCCACACAACACCCCCACCCCACACACCCCAATCCACCCTATCACCATTTACCCACCACCGAACCATCTAAGACCCGACGCCCCCCACCAGCCCTACCCCCTCCCCCCACCACGCACCCCACACCCTCAACCGTCTTCCCCCACATCAACCCATCCCACGACAATCTACCCGCTGCATCCCCTCCACCCCTCCCTCCCCACTCCCTCCTTATAATACTCAGTACACCACGATAAACTCACATTCCTCAAACCAGCCAGCCCCCAAAACACAACACCCCCCCCGCCAAGTTCACCCTCAACTTAAGCCAAAGAGCCCCCTTCACGAGACATCTAGATCTCAGACTATATCCTCCAACCTCATCAAGGTGCGTTACAGTTACGAACCCCGAAGTTAAGTCAAAGGCACAGACGTACCAAGCCAGGGTTTAGGGTTTTAACAACAATTACGCGACAAATCCAGGTTCCCTGTAAAACAGGCTAACTTAGGCTGGGGTGAAGGGTGGTACATCCTTCCCTAGGGAAGTAATCAATGTCGTCCTTCGGGCCTCCACACCACAAGGGGGAGGAGCATGAGTGTGTATACATTGTAATCTTTCAGACTTGCCGGTGGAATAGGAACCGGACTGATGCTCTCCAGAATGGGTAAGGAGCCGGAACCATAAGGTTCCATTTAAAAAAAAGAAAAAAAAAGAAAAAAAAAAAGGGTTCCTGATCAGTCTTGATCATGATGCTCTTGTACGCAATGGTAAAACAAAAGAAAAAAGAAAAGAGTACTCATCGTACCGCCAACTGCTTTTGTTTCCCCTTTTCTTTTCGGATTACACATGCCCATTGACTTTCAGCTTGGCATCCCATAAGCTCTACTCTCTAAGAGCATACTCAGAATAGGATTTCTTTTCTGACTGATCCTTGGACGTAATTGCAGTCACATGCATTCTGACCGGGCATAATCTCAGGCCGATATGCTTTCAGACTGGTTTATAACCAGTCTGTCCGACACGCATTCAGAGCAGTGAGAGAGCACCATGCTTGCTTGGGCGGTGAAAGCATCCCATCCCTCTTTTCAGGTAGCCTCTCATCGAGCCGTCCCCGTCAGTTAGTTTTATTTAATGTGTTCCACGTCGGCCTTCCTTGCCAATACCCGTCTGAACTGGCGAGTCCGTATAGCATCAGGATCAATTAGAGAGGGGTGTGTGCCACTTGGTGGCCCTTTCCGTCAGTTGCTGTGGCACCTCCTCCACTCTAGGGGTGCGCTGTAGTCCTTGGGATCTCCCCATCTCCGCCTTCTGTTGTCAATGCTCGGCGATCTTGCCTCCCTCGTATTGCCCATTCTCTGTGAAAGACACCTTCTTTCCTCCTTAAACCACCCATACCCCAGGGGGTCTTTGGCCCCCTCTGGGGAGGCTCTGATGCAAATGCATATGGACCCGTGCGGCACAGCGTACCTGGCCCCAGCCAAATTCAGAATCCAGATTTTAACCACCGGTACTCCCAAACGTAGTGGCCATGTACGAGCCGCAACGTGCTGGAGTGAACAGCCCTGGGGCGCTGGTATTCATTCAAGTGGAAACGCCGCAGCTTTTTTTTCGGCTGGCCGTATACAAGGCACGACTTGCAGAACCCTGGGGGGCTGGTATTCATTGAAGTGGAAACATCGTTGGAGCCTCTCCGAAAGCAGAAAGAAAAAATCCGAGGGTCCGGGCAGCCAGACCAAAATGGCTGGCGGCGCCAGCCAAAACTAAAACAAAATGCAGGGCTGGCAATTCTACAAAGTTTAGCGCCAATTTGGAATTCTGCTCGTACAACTGAGGCACGGATGTACTGGTGGTTTAAGGCTTTTGTTGTCCTTCACTGCCTGATTGGCGTCAATGTGCAACATATCTCAGCCTCCACTATGTCAATGAGGGCTGACAGTGCTCCCTCTCCCGTGTATCACCAATTGATTGCATTAAATGCATTTGCATTTGCATTTTTTTTCCAAAGGTTGTTCTCGATTTATTGGTGTTGGAAATAATTGGTCGTACCCCCCCCCCCCCCCCCCCCCCCCCCCCCACTCCCCGCTCTCCCTCCCCCCAGTAGTGCTCCTCGTGAACCCCCGCCTTGCAAGACCCATATACAGCTGAGAGCTTTTCTGTGCTAACAGGGTAGGGCAGGTACAGGAATCTACTGCACCCGTCTAGAGCCGATCAACGGCCCCGATCGTTGAGTTCACGGCATGATGACAATACCAAACCGATTGCCAGTTCCGTGCACGGCAATTTAGTTTTTGAATGGGTCATGGGATTGACACAGTTTCAAACTCTTTCCAGACGGACCCAGGACTGTCTCCAGTATACTGTCCTAAGCCCTAAACACAGGCTAGGGACTTCGTTTGGAACCGTGGCAGGACAGGCATGCCGTCCCGGCCCGATCAGGTGGCCTGCCTGATCGCCCGAGTTAAAAAGCAGCCCAGGAGACAATGCATCTCTCCTTGCACAACGACTGGTTGACAATATGAGAG